GCGGGGCTTCTGGGCTTTTTAATTAGCCTTCAATCATTAAATCGGGTTTGGTTACTAGACGCGATATCAACTTGCCCAAGGCCACGTAAGTGAAGAAGTGGTTACACAGCCCACGTCCATCAACGCGTTATTAGTTACGTTTCTTTTAACACACAATTAAACACAAACTGGACAGCGGAAAATGTCTCTCCGACATTTCATTGCTTTTGTGTATGGCTAAAAGGCTAAAGTACTCAATTTTCCTTTTGTTGAATACATCAGAGAACTAAAACAAACTTAATGTTTTTCCCATAAGTTGCTACACTCATGGAACATTATAGTAGTAACCTTTTTTTGTTTTTATCTTCCAGAGACAGCTGCTTCAGCCAATTGACGAGTTCTTCCTTTTTCTATGCTCCTGTTCGGTGGGTTTGAAAGAGAGGGACCTTTGCAAACCGCTCACGTACACCAGTCCACTGTGGCCGCATCATTGCACATGGACAGTTTCTTACAACTTTATTGGGTCACAAGGTGCATCTGGCTTACAACCTGCAGAAGTTTCAAGCCCACCTCCCAGAGGGCATTCAAAGATTTCCCAGACACACAGGTGATCCTGGATTGCACAGCGGCTGAGGTGTCAAACACCATCCTCACTCCTCCTCCTCCAAAGGTGAAATATATCTACATAGGAAAATCTCACTTTGCACCATGAAAGCCTGGGTGGCATATTTTTGCCCACCATTTGGCGCCAGGTGACATTTGTTTCCAGTCTGTATTTGGTGTTCTGTCAAGCGACCAAGGCAGATTTTTCAAACAATCTGGAACTAGGTGCGTTTGTTTGACTGGAAACATCAGCAGTGTGATGGTAGATAAGAGCTTCCTGATGCAGCTGATTGCGCAAATGCATAGGTGTTACTGGCCCAGCCTTTTCTTGTCAAAGCAGAAGCAAATGCCGCCTATGAAGTGAGGGAGACACAGGCCATTGCCAGACTGAGGGTTTCATGTAGAGCGGCTGTTCATTAGAGGATAAAAGAGAACAAACTTTTGATGGTGAATCCCACATAGGTATTGTTTGTATTTCTTATCGATAGTCATGAACTTTCTCTGTGTGGACAAAATAGACTCTCCGTTAGTAAACGTTTTACTCTGGTGTAAAAGTGATTTCTGTGTGGTAAAAGTGAGGGTAACATTGTAAGGTGGAGGCTTGTAGCTGAGGTGATAGTAAACTGTGCCAGGGGCAGATGGAGGCCGCTGTAGTGAGATGCTGGTTTCCTTATGTCCCCGTGGTGATGGCTCTGGGAAGCCCTTGAGCAACGGTAGACTCTAGCTTGGGTGCAGGCAATGCCAGATGGAGGGTTCTTCTCAGGCCCAGGCAAGCCTGTGAAATCTGAAAGAAATATAAGGAACAATAAATACCACTAAGTTCATTCAAATAAAGTCAAGTGGAATGTTCAAAGCACAAAATAAATGCACAACTAAAATAAAAAATAGGAGGCGGGAAGGAGCTCTCCTTACACAAGGTATTCCAGTATTCCCATCGAAATAAAGTCAACAGACAACAATATAACTAACATCATAGTAGTATGTGGGACGAATAAAGTTGATGTTATTTTAACCAACACATGTTACCTTCACTTTTACACACAGAAATCCTTTTACAACAGAGTAAACGTTTCCACTAACGGAGAGTTCTATTTTGTCACAAGAGAAAAGTTCAAGACTAATCGGATAAGAATACAAACAATACCTATGTGGGATTTCACCATCAAAAAAAAGTTTGTTCTCTTTTATCCCTCCTAATGACACGCCCTCTACATGAACCCTCAGTCTGGCAATGGCCTGTGTCTCCCTCACCTCATAGGCCTGGGCATTTGCTCTCTTTGACAGAAAGGTGGGCAGTACACTTTTCATTTGCAGCAATCGCTGATCAGGAAGCCCTTATCTACCATCACTGCCATGTTTTCAGTCAACAACGCAGCTATTCCAGACTGTTTGAAAATCTCCTTGTCGCTGACAGAACCACCATACAGACTGGAAACAAATGTCACTGTACCATGTGGGGCTATGCCAACCAGGGCTTTCATGGTGCAGTGAGATTTGTATGTAGAATACATTTCACTTTGGAGGAGGAGTGAGGATGGTGTTTGACACCTCAGCTCTGTGCAATCCAGGATCACCTGTGTGTCTGGGAAATCTTTGAATGCCTCTTGGAGATGGGCTTGAACTTCTGCAGGTGTAAGCCAGATGCACTGTGACCCCAATAAAGTTGTAAGAAAACTCGTCCATGTTGCAATGATGCGGCTCACAGTGGACTGGTGTACGTTGAAGCGGTTTGCAAGGTCCCTCTCTTTCAAACCCACCGACAGGAAGCAGAGAAAAAGGAAGAACTCGTCAATTGGCTGAAGCAGCTGTCTCTGGAAGATAAAAACAAAAAAAGGTTACTATATTAATGTCATGAGTGTAGCACACTATGGGAAAAACATTAAGTTGTTTTAGTTCTCTGATGNTAATGCCAAAGGAACTGCACACTGAATATGTTTTGCCGTTTGATGTCTATGTCTGGACCGCTGCGTCAAAAAGGAGGGCTTCTGCCCAGCTTCTGCCCCATTACTCTCTCCGCTGCTTTCTTGTTCCAGTATGAAAAGCAAACTGCAGGCAGTTTGCTTTTCAGCCCAACGGTATACTGTTTTTCTCAGACGCGGAGGGATACTGACTTGTTGTGAAAAGTAACTTACAATTCTACCCGTGGTATACGCTCAGTATATCACGGCTAAGAACCAATCAGATTGCTTGATTTGACTTGTCCGTTTTATAAATATATTTATATATTGAGTATAGCCTTTTAGCCTACACGAAAGCAATGAAATGTCGGAGAAACATTTTCCCTTCAGTTTGTGTTTAGATTGTGTGTTAAAAGAAACGTAGCCTACCGTTGATGGACGTGCGTGTGTAACCACTTCTTCATTCCTCTTGGCAGCTGATATCGCTCTTGTAACACAAACCATTTTATAAATGGAAGGCTCAATCAAAAACCAGAAGGCCATCAGGTGGTTATAGCTCGGGAATCTGTACACAAAAGACACATGTCAATCATTAATTGACACAGTAAATACAGTTATGTTAACACACGGGCTAATGCTTTCCTCTTGTTTGCTATAATACATTACAATTAAAATAGACTGATTAAGAAGGCACTTGGTGCAGGTATAGTAATATACAGCATTAAAATGTAACAACTACATTAAAGCAGCAGTAATAATAATCTAAAACATACAGGGAACATTTTACACAGAATGACTACTTTTACTCTTCATTCTTAAGTGTGCAACTGGGGGAAAGGCAGTGGATATTGACATGTACTTTTACTTTGGTAAGGTTTTGAAGATTTCCACTTGTAGTAAAGTATTATCAGTATGTTGTTAGTATTAGTATGTTTTACTCCACCACATTTAGTTAACCTTCATAGTTTCTAGTTACTTTTTATATATGAAAACACATGATTTATGATTCTACATGTTCAGTTCAGGAGTATTTTCAAACCATAGTATTTGTACTTATACTTCAGTTAAGTTGAGTACTTATTCCAACACTGCATGCATATAGTCAGCGGTCAAACGGCAGGTAAACAGGATTCTTTATAAGCTAACCCATCTCAAAAACTTGGATAGAATTTAGCCAAAACATTACCTGGTATAGAATCGGATGTTGTCGTCGGAGCCAGCAAACCGCTGTAAGCCAAACTCTCGCTGGACTCTTAACTCCTGCAGTTGCTTCTGCAGATCCTCCACTGTTTTGGAGTTGTCTTCTGTAGCTTGAGAGGACATGTCCAGTGAAGCTGGTTCAGGGGTTGAGCAGTAATCATGGTCACGGACATCGATGTGCTCTTCCTGCTCCTCCCGAGAGACTGGTTCAGTGGGCCGCTCCCTTCTCTCCCAAACACTAGCCCGCGGTGTTTGAGCAGTAAAGTGATTCCACTCAAACAGAGTTGGTACAGCACCTTTCACAAGCCTCCTACGGCCATCAAGGGTTTTTGGCTCTATTAGTTGATCCGTAGCGAAGTGACGACTGCAGACCTTGGAGTGAGAGGAGATTGTAAAGTTATCGCGTCGTATTTTAACCAGCCACTGTCTTCGCAGCTCGAGTTCGGTCGGAAAGCCATGGAAACTTAGGACGCCGTTGAATTTAGCTGACGCCGTACAAAGTGGGACACAGCAGTGCTCGGAGTAGTTCTTTACTTGTCTTTGCAAATGCTCCGTTTTGAAAATCTTCCGTCGACTCATATTTAAACCATAGATGTAAACAGTAAAACATTTGTGGACGATCTTCCGCTCAGATATGCAGACTGGAAGCAAACCGGAAGCAGCCGAGCCGTATTACGGCTAAGGCGGAAGTACGTCTCAGACCCCAGTGCATGTAGCAACCTCGTAGCAACCCAACTATGTCCTTTGTGCCCCTAAACCACTTTCTGAAAAATTACTTTGCATTTTGGCCTAAAATCCTTTCAACCTTTGTATGTATGTACTTTTTATTCTTCCTTATGCCAAGTTGTGAATTGAAGTGTATGTATTAAAATCCCCACTAGCCCATGGTGCAGTGCATCCAAAGGTATTTTCACTTGGTGTCTGATTACCTTGCTTGTTAGGGCAGGGCATGTACAGACGTTGTAGTACATTTCTATTAGTTTGGTTGCAAACTGCACATTTTTGAACCACTTACACATTTATAATCTCTTCGACCATTTAGATATGAGCGAACTCAGCAAAAACCCAGCATAGTTTGTCCAAACTTCATACTCAAAAGAGGTCTAAATAGCGAGAGTAACTGGGTGTGCACTGTGCAGGGTGCTTGACTTTCTATTACTGTATAGGGTAGTAACGCAAGTTTATGGGGAGACGGACAAATGTAATCATCTCGGAAAGGCCGCTCTGGATAAGTAACCCTATGTATTCAATCACAATGAAAATATGGTATTCAGGTACTGTATGAAATTACCCACAATACTCCCTTATTCCTGTAATTTATTGGACTAATCATATCAGTCTTTTCTCCAAGCCAGACCCATCTAAAGGCATTTATCTTTAAAAGCTCATAAACTTTTAAATATGATGACTGCTTTATTGTCCTCGGTGAGTTAACAAAGCGTAACTTGTTTTAGTAACTCCAGTGCAATACAGTTTCAGTGAGTGTTCTTTCTTACATAACACCTTTATAAGTTAAAATAGTGTAAATTATAGGTCAGGACACAAACATGGATGGTTTTATTTGAGCTTTCTTTATACTGCAGGACATTAATGCTTTGTGAACCCGTAGGCTAATGGAATGGAAACACGGGACAAACATTTATCAATGATCACTAATAACATTACGTCTGTACACAACCTGCAGCGAGGAACACAGGAGCTTTTGTTTCATGTTTACCATCCAGTGATCGGCACCACACTGATTAGATGGCAGCACATTGTGTGCGTCCCTACGCTGGCGTCAGTGGCAGGCAATAACAGAGATTGATAGCAGAGTTACAACAGCCATTTGGGTCCTTGATCTACGGCATTGGATCTCAAGGGATGAAGCCATCCCAGCCACACTCAGCTGCCCAGGGCCGTTGGTCACAGTAATCGAGAGGAGATGTATTTATAAAGTGCCCTGCTCAGCAACCCCGCTCATCCCGGTAAATCTGAAGGGGGAGCTGAAAGAGAAAATGACAAAACCCAAGGACACTACAAGGAGCTAACCCTGCAGTTGCCAGCAGGTAATTGGGGTGTCACTGTATCCCAGAATGCATTTCCTTACCTCACATTTGGCTGTTAGCTAGCATAGCACCTTCCTGCCAGTATAGGAATAAGAGACAGTGAAAGGAGAAAGTAAAGTAAAACTAAAATAAAAGTTATCATTTATCAATGAGATGCTTGTTTATTTAGAAGTCTCTTCAGCAAATTATAGATTTGCATTACGTGATTATTTTGTACATATATCTCCATTTTGACAAACAATACAAACATTCAATTCTTAGTGATTCCAAATACTGTAACCTAGGGTTAGATCTTAAGCCACATGTATGTCACAGCTGTCCTGCAGCACTTGCTCTTTCTACTTCCTATTGCTTGGCTTTAGCAGCAAACACAAATCTCACTTGGAGTTATTGATTGGGGCTCATGACAAAATCCATATGAAATACATCGAGGTATTAAAAGGAGAGCAAGGGAAAGGGAATTTAATGACCTGCTGTAAGATGAGAAAGTAAAAGGATCTTTGGATACAGCTGCTTTATTGCTTGCCCAATGCCTAGTTGTGAATATCCCCAGTGCATTAACCATTAACAAAGAAGCTCTGGCACATCCTATAATATGCCGGAATAAGATCACTTTTTCTTAATATTCATAGATAGAGCCGAGTATGCATTGGTAATTGTAAACTTGTTCCATAAAATTAAAGGCCAAGATAAAACAGAATTTGCAGTTATTGTTCAAAAGTTGCTACGACGAACTGGTATGGCAGTTATTCCGGCGCTAGTATAAGAATAAATCCACTGGGAAACACTAATGTGTTGTAGATGTTACACAGATGTCCTTTCAATGAACTAATTAGAAGAGGGGGAAGAATAATGATGTATGCCTGGTAGTGCTTGAAACGTCTCTTCCTCCCTGGCCTGAATGCAAGGCTGTTACTTTTAACTTGCATGGCTGATCAAACAGATACTGATGTGCAAATGAGGATAAGCATGTACCATGTAGATGTAAGAGTGCAAGAGTCGACGGTGTTGGTTTTGAACGCTGTGAAGGCTGCGTTGCCTTCCCACCAACTGCAGTGTGGATGGCATTTCAAAACACCAGCTTTCTTTGTTATGGAACGGAGAAAGAAGAGACAAATTATTTCATGCCCCTCATCAAGCCTCACTTCCACTTCAATTATAGTCAATTTTAGAGGGCCAGTTTAGGAAATATTTGTCATAAAGAGTATCATGTACAAATTGAGAAAAGAGAAAAAAGCAAATTCACAGAAAACACATCAATAATAAAAACACAGCACCATTAACAAGCTATTGTGCCATGGAGTCAATCAAGTATTTGGTATCAAAATAAATTATAAAGATGAAAATGATGAGGCTGCGTAATAGGAATCTCATAGTGTGAATATGAAGCAGATGGCCAAAACACATAGAATTAAGTCATTCTAAGCCGTGATTTCAATGCCGAGGCTTCTTCTACTGTACAGTAAAATGGTTTCCAACAATCTTGTGGAAAAATAAACATCTGTAAAATGTATGCAGACAAAGTGTCAAAGTTTGCTTTTGGCTAATTAGGATGATGGGAATCGGTATCTAGCAGCATCAGCCCACAAACCGGGGGGTGACTTCTTCTTGGGGTTCCAAACAAAGGGAGATTTATTGAGTGCCATCAGGTTTTGATAATATGTGAACTGGTTTAGTTATTATGTTGCATTTCTACAGCATTCCATTGAATGAGGTTGTAAAGAAACGTGAAAATCAAAGCGAAACACTTCATGATTAGAACAAATTATAATTGAGCAGCTGGATTTCTTCATTGTGGACTGAGCCCTCATGGCTTCTTCTACTTAAGATACCTTTTGTTCCATAATTCAAAAGCTTTTCTATTATGTGAGAGCCTTATTACAGAGTTCTGCGTTTGGACCATGCAGCTAAATGCCTATGGCTGTTGATAAGAGCGCAGATAAACCAGAAATCACAATCAATTTTTTTTATTAACGGTGTGTGTGTCTGCCCAAGGACAATTTAAGGTAAAACCTAATAGAGGTGTCATACATAATAACCTAATAAAAGTAAATGTAACAACTACTACAGTGCAACAAAACAGGAAGATCAAATGTGGTCTCTTAAACATAAGATCTCTAGCATCTAAAGCAATATTGGTAAATGATTTAATATCAGATTATAATATTGATATATGCTGTCTCACTGAAACTTGGTTGAGACATGAAGAATATGTCAGCATAAATGAGGCCACTCCCCCCAGCCATATCAATACTCATATTGCCCGAGGCACGGGCCGAGGAGGTGGAGTTGCAGCAATCTTTGACTCAAGTTTACTTATCAATACTAAACAAAAATTAAATTATACCTCCTTTGAAAGCCTCGTTTTCAGTCTTACGCATCCAACCTGGAAAACTTTACAGCCAATCTTATTTGTTACAATGTAGTACCGTGCACCAGGTCCTTATTCAGAATTCTTATCAGAATTCTCCGAGTTTTTATCAACTTTGGTACTTAAAACAGATAAAGTAATTATCGTAGGTGACTTTAATATTCATGTTGACGATGATAAAAATAGCCTTACTGTTGCATTTAACTCTATATTAGATTCTGTTGGTTTCTGTCAGAGTGTAAATAAACCAACCCACTGCTATAATCACACTCTTGACCTTGTTCTGACTTATGGTAT